ATTAATAACTTTGACAAAAATTTAAAACCAAATTTAAAATATACAAAATATAACAAAAATTCATATGGTAAATGTCATCATGCTACCAAAGATGTATGGAAGAAAACTGGGAAAATGCAGAATTTTGACACTTCCAATATTTTACCACGATGAAACAAGGGCAAATAAAACTATAATTGGCACAGTGAGTAAATACAGCATGCCAAGTTTCCTTGTCTGTTAATAATTACTTTAATAATTCCATATGTTGTCTTTAAACAGCATTCATTTTGTCTCTCTGTGGCTACTACATAGTGACCTTTTACATCTGGAAATAAGTGAATGGTATTGAGGGTTCAAATATGTCAAGTCATTTTGATCTTCAGTGGTCAATACTGATAGCAATGAGCAAACCCCAAGTAAAAAGAGTCACAATTGAAATTAATTTCCTTGATGTCTAAAATCAATCTTTTTTATCCTTAATAGCACATTAATTAAATATTGATATATATATGTAACTATATTAATAACAATATACTGTTCAAACATAGTTCAAAAAATAAACTGAAGTGTTTGGAGACCATTTTTCTCTGAAACATAAATATGATAATGATAAATAGGATCAACACAACTACATTAGATTTCTACATTTTCCAATTATAAGATAATGTGTTATCTCTCATAAGACTACAAAAATATAATTAACTATTCCTTATAAAACCTAATAGCAAAATATATAATACATTATACTACCTGAAATACTGACAGTTGCTTCTTTTGTTTAATGGTTCCTCATACTGGGTCACAGATGCCCATACCATATTTCTCCAAAGAAAATATGTACTTTAGCATGATGGCAGCTGGCTGTGCATCTCAGCAGCTGTGCTGGGAGAATACAGGAAGCAATCTTTGTGTTCACTTCCTTGATAAATGAACAACAAAGTGTATGGGCATGTCAAAGTGTAAATGGGTGGATTTTACCTATGTTGTGTGCTGTTACATTTTTGCATATTTATAATTTTTTAATAAATATTTTCTTTTTATTTTTCTTGTAGAATTAGCCCAATTCAGTACAATGTTGCATGAAAATCTGCTTTTAGAAGTTTAGGAGAAGGTTAAAAGTGAGTCATCAGGTGACTCAACTACTGATGATGATTTGGATTGTGTAAGCCAAAGAAGTTAACAAGATATGACAGAGAAGTACAGAATGGAGACCACGACTCAGATGAGGAAGAAAACTGTAAATAAATATATGACTAATAAAATGCTACAAAATGACCATGTACACCTGAATGAACCATCATTAGAACTAGGTCAGAAAATGTTAATAGGGTCTTGCCAGGGTGAAACCTACTGGATGGAATGCCAATGCTGCAATTCCTTGTTGGAAATTGTAAAGGATAATATGCTATGAGATGTTTTGAAATACACTATAATGAAATACAAGTAAAACATTCTATATGCTTTAAGAGTTAATACTCTTAAATATACTTATCAGGACATCTCACTATCTGAATTAAAGGTCTTTATAGCAGGACTTTATCATTCTAATTATCAGAATCTAAAGGATTTATGGAGAAGTCACAGATGCAGCATTGATATTTTTTAGAACAATAATGACACTCAAGAGATTTGGTTTCCTTCAAAATTACCTATGTTCTGATGACAAAATGACTTAAGGAAAAAACTCAACAATTAGGCTGCTATTTACTCATTTGTTGAATACTTTGTTTCAAACAGTTAAGTAATTTATACACCATCTGAATACATAACAATTGCTGAACAATGTCTATCACTTCATGTTTGTTGAAGCTTTTGGAATATATACTAAATATGGTATAAAAATATATTTCCTGGTGCATGCAAAAAAATTTTACCTTGAATTTAGATATTTACCCTGGAACTCAGTCACCAAGTCTTTCTCTGTGTGGTAATAAAGCATATGACTTTGTGAACAGACTTGTTACACTATGTCACTGACTTTTCATTTGCTGAAAGAACATCAATTGACCAGCAGAAGAACAATAAGCAAAAATAAAGTCAAGATTCCTGAAAAGAAAATGTTACACATACAATCTTTGGATTTCAGAAAGTTGTAATATTGACCTCCTATATGGTGAAGAAAAACAAAGTACTACTGATACTGTAAACAATATACCACAGTAAGATGGATAGTGAGACCCAGTATGATGGTGCATGCCTAAAATCCCAACACTTAAGAGGCTGAGGCAGGAGGATCCTGTTAGTTCAAGGTAAGTCTGTGCTACATGGTGAGCTCAAATCTAGCCTGGACTAGATGGTGAGTTCAAATCTAACCTGGACTATATATCAAGACTTACCGGGCTGGGGAATTAGCTCAGAGGCATAAATGCCTGAGTACCGATAAAAAGGAAAAAGACCAAAAAACAAAAAACAAACAAACAAACAAAAAAAAAAGACCTACTAAAAACAAACAAACAAATAGATAGTGAATCCTCAAACACAAATGAAGGCAGCAAAACAAAAGGTAGAATAAATGTTTTTCATGAGTTATGCAGTAACTATAATGTCACTTAAAATAAAAAGTGTCAGCCAATGATTGTGTTTCACTCAATCCTATATATGTATAGTATAAACAGTTTCATAGTTTACAAAGAAAATAACAAGCACAAAATAACACAAAGAAACTGTCTTAGAGGACTGGGGCTAAAATCGATAAATAATCCGAGGAAAAACAATATGTATCTTCCCAAAGAACTCCTCATATAAATTTTGGAGTTGTGTGCAGTGGTACACGCCTGTAATCCCAGCACCCTGGAGGCTAAGGCAAGAAGATTCCTATAAGTCTGAGGTCAGCCTGGGCTACATAATTGAGTTCAAGGCCAGGGTGCACTAGGAGACCTTATCTGAAAACAGAACAAAACGAAACACAAAATACGGACTGGTAAACAGACAGATGCACATAACAAAAACCTCCTAAGAAAACACAAAGACCAACAAAATGTCAAGTATGTCCTACCAAAGAAAACAGGAAAACAAATCATATGCTATCAATGTAAGCAATACTTGTATAGGGAACACGCTGTTCTCATGTGTGAAAACTGCCTTAGGTGTGATAATTCAAGTGAGGATTTTTTTTGTGGTAACATTTTATTTATATTTTCACTGTAGTCCACATAAAAATTTATTTTTGCTATTATTTTTCAGATTTTGTAAGCAGGTAAACAGTTCATGTTGAAAATGTTGATGTTTATTCTACATACTCATTACATGCTAAAAATTTAATATTTTACCTTATTGATATTTATTTTCCTGTTAGGTACACTTTGTTTAATATAATAAAACCCATAAAATTAACAATTGATCAATAGAAATGCTCTAAAAAACAAATGTGGGATAACAATTTGCAGTGATGCCACCAGGGCTACATACAATAAAAAGGAGTAACAGCAAGAAGACCATCCACAATCCTCACATTCAAACAGGACTGTCACTATTTACAATCTGACCCCAGTCCTGCTTAAAACCCAAAGTAGGAGCCTGGTTCAGGAGGAGCCAGTCAAGGACACGCTGGGTAAGAAATCATCAAGGTTAGCCTTTCTAGGTGACAGCCTCATCTAGGATACTAGAAATACAAGAGTCTAAAAGAGATATATTTCACAATCTAAAAGAAAGACACCTATTGTGAAAGAATGAGAATCAAGCTCCTGGCCTTGACATTCATTATAAAATTACCACTCTATTGCCATATCAAAACTGTAATTTGTGATTACATAACATGTACATTAATAGAGAAAAAGTAGGTACATTCTTCACACAAATACCCAAAATACCTTTGATAATACTTTTATTCCTTGATTTAGAAGTATTTGCTGTCCCACGATTTTACCTTGAAATGGTTTTCAGCTGGCCATAAAATGCATTAAAAAGAACAGTAAGCCTGAAAATTATAGTTGGATGACTAGCAGAAAATTACCCTTCCTAAATGCCTCTTCCTACTGCCTTCTTATTCTTTCTCTGTTTTTTTTTTTTCTTTTTTAATAACTACCTTCTCCTCTACTCCTGCACTTCTTCTATCACTTCTAATTTTAAAGTACCTTTCAAGCACTTCAAGAGGAGCAAGGCACAGAGGCATGAGGGCCAGGGCAAAGAGCACTTTGTTCTTTACTGCACTCAAAAAAGGTAAATTCATTCTCAAAGAGAAACCTGAGTAATTACAATCATAGAATTATGAAATGTAAATTCCTGCTGGCAAGTATTTCTTTTTGTATTTTCCACATACAAACTCAATGACTTTTTCTTTAAGGAATTAAGTGTACAGACTCTGGGGAGCAATGAGATTAGCAACGCTTAATAAAGATTATGTAGTCCAATCATACAGTTTGAAGACTCCGGCAGCTTCAGAGACTTAACTAGAGACCCACTACAAGTCAAAAAACTGAGAATAAGAAACTAGATCTACTCATTGCCAATAATTCAACTTTTCTTGCTGCACAATCTCAACTAAGTAATTATATTTTGGCAAAAAATGAGAGAAGTGTTAATCACGTTCCACAGTCCCATGGATCATCTTGGAGACATCTCAGTGCCCCCCTGCCACCCTTGCAGTTACACACTGAGCTACTGGGAACAAGTAACATACAGACTGCATTTCTAACTTAGTGAGCCTCTGAAATGAACAAAAGGGAAAGCAGCAGCAATGAACAAGGGTTTACAATGTAACTTTAAAGAATGTGAAATGAGAAATAACAACTATCAATTCAGGCTGGGGATTTAGCTCAGTGGCATTAAGTGCATACCTGGCAAGTGGAAAGTCATGAGCTCAATCCCCCGTACCAAAATAAATAAATAAATAAAAATAAAACTATCAATTCAAAACTATAGCTCAAAGTGACAAAAAAATTAAAAAGTAGTCTACCTCCCTTCATTTTATAGATAAGCAATTTTGCAGCTCAGAATGTTGACATAACTACCCTTTGTCACTAAGCAACTATAGCTTCATTGTAGTCAAAGAGAGGAAAAAACTTTTTATTAGTATTTACCTGAAAATCATCAACAAGTTCAGGGAAGAAGTGTTCATACATTTTCAGTTCATCTATTGTTCGTCCTGGTACTTGCTGTGGTTTTAATTTGTTAATATCTGTTTCAATATCATCATTCTGAAATAACAAGCATGTCACCAGTTTTTAAAAAGTAATCATTAAAGGTTGTATCAATTTTATATAAATTCAGATTTGCATCTTATTTTGGGATTGCTGTTATTATCAGGTTTTTCTTTTTTCGTGATTATTCTAACATAAGACAGTGTTTGATTCTTCATGAGAAAAATGTCTATATAAAGATCAAGATTAATGTATGCTCTTCTGAATCTCCCTAAATGCCATCATGTTGCACATTTTAAAGTGCAATAAAACTTAAGAAAGCTGAATTGAAAAACATAGATATAACAATGGTGATAATAACCACAACAGCTAACAGTGAGCAATAAAAATATATGAAGCACTATGTTAATTATTTTACATATATAATTTAATTTGCATAAGAATGCTAAAATAGATAATATCATTACCTTCATTTAACTGAAAGAAATAACACATACAGAGGTTAAGGAGCTTGCTAAAACTTTACACTCTGCCAAGAGAGGAGCCAGGTTGCAAAAGCTGAGAGATGTCAAGACACACAGTGTTGGCCAGTATGATACACTGCCTCAATGAAGACTGAGGGTTATCACACACTTATGTGCCATGAAAAACTTATATGCCTTAAACAAACTTAATGGTATCACTTACTCCGCTTTTCAGGAGAAAAAAGTACAACTGTCAGAATTGATTTTCATGCCCCTTTACGAAAAGAGAGGATAAATTTAAAAGCATTGTCTTTGGAGGATTTCATCTGTGTGTGCCTCAAAGAAGTGCCACCGCCTTCTGGGAAAGCGGGCAGGGGGCAGTTTACATAACATCCAAGCTAATTTCTAGATTCTCAATACAAAATCACTATGACCTTTACAGATGACTAAAGAGACATAATAAGACACTTATTAATTTTTAACTGGTATTCACTTTAAGATTCTACTAATCTTACTATATGCATACTAACTTTTGAGCCTTAAAGCAAATTTATTTTACTATGCCTCAATCCTTGTATGTAGCTAGCTATATCTTAATTTACTGGCATATTTATGGGTAAAGGATCACAACATATAATAAATATAACTTTCAAATGGTTAAAAATGTTTCCAAAGTGTATACTCATGCATACCTGCTCAAAATTTTCTAGGAACAAAACTGGTCACTGTTATAATTTCTACTGAATTCTATTTTCCCACTCTGTCTTCACATCTTCAAAGCACCACCAAAATAAGTATTTTTAACGAAAACTGAGTACAAAAATAAACTGTACCAAATATACTTTGTTTTTAATAGACATTGACTAAGAAAGGTCTATCAAAATACAGTATTTTTAAAGATTAATCTGGAAATTTTAGTATTAACCTGGAAAATTTTGCTACACCTCAGTATTACTTTCCCAAGAATCTAAACAGTTACTTTTAAATATTCTTCTACATTTCTCATTCTGTCAGGTTCAGAACCAAAAAACAGTTACTCATGAGCCTGCACCATTTGCCTTGTTAATGCCAGAACACAGACTCATCTGATAATTTTGCCAAAGCATGCCTTGGTGATCAAGTTTGGTAGTAACAAAATTGGTTCTATACTTGCTACTAGGATAGAAATCTTGCAACATCTTAAGGCTCAGAAGCCTCAATGTACTCCCAATTATAATGTAGTAACCTAATATTTAAAGAAGAAATTAAAACACCTAAGCAGCAAGTCAAATTAATATCCCCTTCCCAAAAACCATGCAATAAGCAAAATGGTTAACCAATCAGAGACCATTTTTCTAGATGGTGTAGTGGACATTCTAATACAAACTAAAACAAAACCAAGTTTCTAAGCTCCCAGAAACACCATAAATTCCGAAAAGTCACCTGCTTCTTTTACCTACATCTCATGTAATAAGACAGTAACTTCATATTCTCTCAACTTGATACACCATTTTTCCGCTTCCAATTAACTAAAGAATCATTACAAACACTAATTCTTATAAAAATACATCAGTTTCAGACTGTTTTCCTCCTATTTTTACATCCCCAAAGAAAGGCAGACATTGAGTATTAGATTTTGGAATAAGCTGTAATAGAAGAGCCTCAAATCACTGTCCACAGGCTCCTTAGATTTTCTTAGATTTCAAAATCTAAATCAGAAGGGTTAAATAAAATTTGTCTGTTCCAAAGGCATGAAAAAAGTTACTTTAGGGCATTTTTCAGCCCAACAAATTTAAGGCAGCATTTGCTCTTCAGTCACTTAGTATCCATAATCATCCACACTGAAACAAATTAAGTACCATTATACCAGTTTACCAGATCTCTTTTTTCCAAATGAAGTATACAGTTTATAAAACTAATGATAAAAATTCACTAACCTTAAAATTTTGATCTAAGTCATCTTCATTTTCGATTTCATTTTCAGCTTCTAAATCAATATCATCGTTGTCATCACTTTCATCTACTACGTCATCCACTGTGATACAAAATGTACTGTAAGTAGGTCAGAGGTAGGAATTCTACAACATGCACATCCAAAAGGAGCTATAAACTGTGTAATACGTAAGAATTTTAATCAAGAAAAAAGCAAAAGAGATTTCTTATTAAAGATGTCTATAGTTGTTTTGGCTATTGAAAATCTACAAAATAATATGTGAAACTGCTTTAAAATTTTAAAAGTACTGTAAAAAGAAGTGAGCTTTTGCTCACATCCTCAGTTGGAAAAAAAAAGTCTTATGTTCCAACAACCAGAATAAAACATGTTGTTTCCTACTTATGATAAGTTTCAATGCCTCATTTCATGCCTTATAATTCCCCTCTCACCCATTCCAATGATTCTGTGCTATGTACTGTGCTGTGTACTGGGAAGATATACTAATACAATCCTGCCCTCAGAGAGGTCATAAGAGTATAAAACAGAAAGGATTAATACAGAGCGAAATGCTAATAAAGGCATAATCTTCGAAACGCTATGGGAGAAGTAAAGATCTACTAACCCACTACAAACTGCTTAGGAAAAGGTGTTGATTACTTTGCACAGCATATTATATTTAAACAGTTTCTTTAAAAAAATTGTAACATTACAGTCTGAACAAAAGAGAAGTAACTATGCTTTTTAAAAAAGAAATAATGCTGAGATGAGTGAGATGATGCCTTTTAAAAATAAGTAAAATTAACATGCATAATATGCTTAGGAAAGTACTAGAAGGTAAGTAAGAATGAGAACAAATGGATGATTAATATAGTAGGCCAAGTATTTTAGATTCTTAACCATAAGAAGGAAAGCACTGAGAATTCAAGAGGAAAATAACTGAGATACAATAAGTGATAGGAGAAGGACCTGCACTTTTAGAAGAGAACTCTGGCAGTTGTGATCCAGGGAGTAAATAGAGGGTGTGGGGCCAATCAATAGAAATTAAAATACAGGGAAAGAATACACATTAAAGAAAAACTTAGGGACAGAATAAGAAAGGACACTGGTCGTGCATGCAGGGGAGACAAAGGGACAAGAGCAGAAGAGTACTGGGAGACTTCCTTGTAAGGTGCAGAGGTTTTTTGTTGTGGTTTTTGGGGTTTGAGTTTTTTTGTTTTTTGTTTTTTGGTGTTTTGTTTGGTTTGTTTTGTTTTGTTTTTGAGACAGTATCTCACTATGCAGTTTAGGTTGGCTTTGAACTCACTTCATAGCTCAGGCTGGCCCCAAACTTTGAGTGATTCTCCTGCCTCAGCCTCCTAAGTGCTGGGATTACAGATGTGTACCCCCATACCCAGCTTTAGGCATAGATTTTTAAACAATGTAGAAAATACTTCTTTAAGAGTTTCCCAAACTCTTCTGACTTCCTTTCCAATGTGATGTAAAGATTACTATCATCCTACTGTATGTTCTTCTTTCCCTGCTTTTTGGGATGGAAGCTCTGCATTTTAGTTATAGGATTCTGGCCTCTCTGGCCATAATTACAGTCATACATACCAATAATTACTGGCCAATGGTACTATGCAAAGTAAGAATACAAATTCCAAGTCACATTCTTTTAAAAAATTATCTTTTTTTTCATTCCCATTTCAATGTGCACATAATTTTATCATGAGAGACAAAAGAATTCATAGGTTAAAAACTAAAGGACTGCAGAAAATCTGATTGACTGCAAACAGGAAAAATAATCACACAGACAAGGTTGAGGTAAAAAAAAAAACAGTTCAGCTTCAAAAACAAAATATACTTCTTAATTTCAGGCCAAATTTGTCAAATATATTTCTTTATAAGATATTTTCTTTAGATTTCTAATACAGATGTAAAATGCATATTTTAAAGGGTCTGAGACCTTTTCTATTCTAAAAATTCAATGGTATTCTTATATCTCACCAATAATAATAATTACTATAATTTAATCATACAATTAAAACTGGAGAATATAAATCACAATTCTTATTTTTATTCTCAAAGACTTTGACTCATTTATAATAAAAACATAAACATAACCAGGCATGGCAATATATGTCTCCAATCTCAGCACTTAGGATGAAATAGGGACATTGTGAGTTTAAAGTCTGACTGACTTTGAGGGCAGCCTGAGATAAATAGTGAGACTGCCTCAAAAAACAGAAATAAAACAAACAAATACAGGACACAAATATCTGTCAGTAAGATACTAATTACACAAGTAATACTACATCCATATTAACCATTAGAAGGAATGAGTGAATGTTTTCTATAAGGATTTATAAAGTATATTCCAAGGGGTTTATTTCTGTTGTTGTTTTTATTCCTGTAAATGTGGTCTACTTTCCCTTTATGCTTTCTAACTGGTTTCTGTTAAACTAGACAGTTACACAGTCAGATACATTTTTTCCTGTTTACAATAGACTGCACATATATAGATATATAGGTGTAGACACACACATATAGAAAACCTAATTTGATTTCTTTTTCTAGTAACTAGTGTTTTATTTTTTCTAAATCATATTTTACAATTTATTCACTTGAATTTGTAATAGTATAAAACCTTCCACAGCTATTGATATATCAATCTCACACTCTTAATGGCTATAACTTTTCTTTTCTTTACAGATTTAGTTAAAGCTTTCAAAATGATATTAAATTAAAATGGTTGAGAGTCATTCTCTTAACATTTCATTACTGGTTTTGATATTCTGTAATATTCAGATTGTTTAAAAAACATTTCTGATTTCCCTAATAAACTTTATCTGAAACTGACATGCATTTTTATGAAATCTCCTGAAAGTGATAATCTTTTCTTCCTTTGACCTACTGTAGTAAATTTTATCAGAGTCCAAATAATAGTGAACTTACTTTCCTAAAAATCATCCTTACTTGCCCCAAGCGTCTTACACATGAAAAACACTGCTCAATGAAGTTGCTAATTCTTAAGTTTGCTTGCATTTTAGAATTTTGATATTTATTCTGAGATGTGATATTGATCTATAGGTTGTTTCAGGTTATTCTTACCAAGTTTTGCAGCACCATGCTAGCTTCTAAACTTTCCTTTTTTTTTCTATGCTCTGGAAAATAAAGAATAGGGAAATTTCTTGGAAGTTGAGAGACCTAATCTATGACATCATCAGCAGTGAGTGTCTTAACTGAAGAAATCTGATTGCATATTCAAATTCACTTATTATTTTAATAAATTTAATTATTTGTATTTCCTTATAATGTCTATCTCTATCATATATTCAAATGTACTAGCAGGAGTTATATTTAGCGTCTACTTAGATTGATTTAATCCCCTTTATGTAATTTCCCAAGGATTCAGAGGTACATTAACACTGTGTTTCTACTAATTTATCCTTGTTATTCCAAGTATTATAACTTTTTCTACTTTTATTCTATTATTTGGCAAATGTATTCTCTTAGATTGTATAAAATAACTTTTGCTGTCTTGTTTTGTACATTTCTTCTGCTGTATTTATATTTTGTATTAGAAGATGGCTTTCTCCCTTCTTTTGGGCTAGGGAAATACAGACACTTGCCTCTCTGTATACTTTCCAGTTTCCCAGGCTGCGGTTTTAAGAAGTTCCCAGCAAGTATTAGCTTGTTGAATTTCATTTATTAATCCAATTTAAATCCCACTTCTTTTAATAGGAGTGTTTTATCCATGTAGATTTCTAATTAATGGAACTGATTTACTTGTACTTGCTTTGTTAGCTCACTCAGGGTCTTTGCATATCTGAAATTTTTTCCCAAGGAAAAAATACATAATTTTATACAGAATTTCAAAGCATTCATGGTCTCTGAGTTTATTCATGCACTCTATGGTTCACTGAACCCCACTCTAAGGATCTGTTCTATGTTTTCTTTTTAATTTTTATTAGTACATGTTTTTAGGACATACTGTTTATATTCTTTTAAAGCTGAAAATGCATTATTTCTGTATCATTTTAGAAATGCAAGAATAGTATATTAGGAAATCTACTAATACAGATTTAATATATTTGTGTAACATACTCAGTTTATGATAACTGTATATTGCAGGACTTTACCAAGGGATTAGCTGATATATTTATAGTAATAGCCTTGTAATAGAAAATTTGAATGTAATAGAAAACTAGCAAAAATTTAAAAATTAGTAGCTGTTGCTATATTGAGACTGGATATATTCATCCTGTCTGTCACATAGCCAGACTGCTAAACTCAGTCAGCCTTGACTGTCTGTGTCCAGCTGCTTCTCACAGATATCCGTCAGGTCAACCTGACCCCAGCTAGTAGTAAAGTCTATTTCACTACCTAAAAAAAATAATGTTTTTCCAACATGTTTCAAGGGTTTTCTACTTAGGACAGATTGGCCCAGTCAAAGACATACTTAATTCTACCTACTTCACTAAAACCCCCTTCCCAGAATTTTGCTGCCTTATGATAAACAATTCCTTTTAAATCTGCCTAGAACAAATCTGCCTGACAACATATGATTGGATTCATGTAACCAATTATATAATAACCTGCTATCAGCTTAGGTATTTTCTGCTTGCAAATTCTATACAAGCTAAACCCAAGGCTGGTTTAGGGATGGTAACTTGGAACTGGATTTCCTAAGAGCCCACCAGCAAAATAAGTAAGTTTGCCTTCCGACTCCTTGGTACAAGGCATCTTCCTTTCAGTTTGCTATGTTTCCAATGGCAGCTATTTACTATTACATAGTTAAACAAGTTATAATGGTTAATACAATTACTCTTCTACTGTACCTTCTGCAATCTTATCATTTTTAATCTATCATTTGACTAATTGTAATAGTACTTCACATAATCACTTCAGTAAGAGTATCTGGGTAATACATTCTGTCCTCTTACATTTATAACAATCTATTACCTTCACATATAATGGCAACTAATAAAGATTGAGAAATCTTGAATCAGAACTTTCTTTTTTAAATCTCCATCAATAGTACTTCACTATCTTATTGCATTTAATAATGTGAGAGCAAGTCTGGAGGCCAATTGCATTCACTCAACAAATACTCAGTGTACATTATTATAGCCCGTGCAATCTAACAGATGTTAAAGATATAATGGAGGGAAAAAACAATAATCCTACTGTGATAAATATATATTCCATCTCTGTCTCTGCTCATAGCACACAGCTCCTAAATCCCTTGGAATTTCTCAGGAGACAGGAGGATCTTTCCTCCTAATGAGCACAAAACTCACAGGGGATCCAAGGTAGATTCAGGGTGGAAGTTGGTGGCTAAACATATGAAGGCCTAATTAAAAGTCTAAGAACTTCAGCACGATGCCTCAGCCTCTAAGGAGAAAAGATGAGCTGAGACTGATGCCAGGACTTGGGGGACCAACCAAGAAATCAACGATCCAGCCTTCCTGGTAAGCAGCACAACTGCATGCACACCAGAAGAGCAAAGCAAGCATCTCCCGAGAAGCCACCATGCCGGGACTTGAGGGACCAACCAAGAAAGCAACAATCCAGCCTTCCTGTAAACAGTGCTAGCGCTAGCATAGTGGCGGCACAGGCTGAAATCAACACTACTACCACCACCCGACTCCTCTCCCAACATCCGTTAGCAACCCAATAGTTTAGAGGACAGCCTGAGTTGACAGCAACTAAGGTACATAGAAGGACTAAATGCTTGTATTGCTTGGTTAATTATGCAGGCCTGGGACCAGCGGTCTGAGCATCTCTTGGGAGGATGTCAGTATGCAACATAGCAAATATGGGGGATTTCCTCCTATCTTGTTTTTTAAGTCCAATTCTGTTTTCACTGTTTTTACTTTGTTCTGATTATTTTGCTTTATTTAATACTCTGTTTTGATTGGTGTTCTTGTGTTTTGTTTTTGGTTTGATGTTGCTATACCTGATAGAATGGACAACTACTGTGAAGGTAACAGGATATACTATGGTAACTATTATTATTTTCTAGTTCTGTACCAATTTTACTACATTGTCTTGCTTGGCTTTGTCCTGTATTGCTTTGTTGTATTTTACTATCTTTAAAATAAAAAATTTAAATAATTAAAGACAAAATTAAAAAAAGATGAGCTAAGGCTGAGTTACTCACCAACAAACAGTGATTTAATCCATCATGATTGATCAAATCATAAAAACTCTAAATGATGGTGTGCAGAGAGCTTTGGGGTTAGTGAACACACCCAGTGCTAGGAAGGTGTAAAGCCTGGAGACAACATGGGTCCACATCGTCCCCATATCTGACCTAGGCATCTCTTCACCTCATTATCCATCATAACCCTGAAAAAATGCTAGTAAGCAAAGAGTGTGCCTGAATTATGTCAGCCATAATAGCAAGTCATGCTAGCAAGCAAAGACAAATGGGCTTTAAGAACACCCACACCAATTTTGTAACTGGCATCTGAAGTGAGAACAGTCTTCTGGGATGGTGACCTAAATCTATGTGGTCTATGCTAGTGTTAGGATTGAATTCATTGTATAAGAGCCATCTGATGTCCAGAGAAGTGGAGAATTCACTGGTATGAGGGAAAACCAACCTATGGATTTAGTGCTAAAAATGTGAGTAAAAACAACTCAGGCCAATTCTACTGGAGCATACAAAAATAATAAAGACTTTGATACATGTAGTGTACTCTGATATGTGAGAAACTAACTGAAAATAGAATGAGGGTATTTTCTTTGTGCCTATACAGTTATTAGAATCTTCTTCTCACAACCTAATTATGAAGGCTAGCTAGAAAATATCAATCTACATTTCCAGTTTACTGACTCATCAAGTCTGATAATCATACATAAAAGGACTCAATGCAAAGATATACTGCCTCTTATTTATTCCCTCTTTGGTGAATTCACTGTACTACTACTAGTCAGCTTTTTCTATCCATTAATCTGGACACTAAATAAAGAGCACTATGGGTTATATCTTGTGTCCTTCCTGGTGTAACTACCTACTGCATCACAGGAAGGTTCCACCGGCTTTCTACCAGTTAGAACCACCATTTAAACACCCATAACTTATATTCTCATAGTTCTGTATGGAGACAAGGGGAAAAAATGAGATTTCAACCATCCCGTGATTGTTCTGGCAAATGAGGAACTGTGGCATCTCAATCTGGAGATTACATTGTGGGAGAGGATACGGACCTAATGATTTCCTTAATGTACTTACTTCTCTACCATATTCATTCTATATTCTACGCTTATCTCATAAGGATGCCCTCTGGCCTAATTTTCAGATTTGGGACAGATTTTTCTCTATTTTCAAAATTTGTTGGTAATTTCAAATAGAATAGGAAGATGGAATTAATTCCTTTATCTATCTGCTCTGTGTGAACTAAACTTGTGCTTTAATAACTAAATACTTTAAAAATATAATAACACCATACATATTTGACATATTTCATTAATGACATATTTCATTAATAAATCTGTATCTATATTATACTTTTTTAAAGCACCTACTTCATGTATTTTATATAAATAAAAGACAACTTTGCAAAAAAATAAGCTTTATAATCAACACTTGTTTCTTTTTGTTATATATTTATCAAAAATTATTTTTATCACATTAAGAATTTTAAAATCTTATTTCCTTTACCACATACCTACAGTATTATACAGAAAATGACAGCCTGTATCTGATAATTTCACATATTTCTCCAGGTAAGCTACTAATAAGTTTTTATTAAGTATAAACCGTAATAGTTTTGGTGACTGTATATTTTGAACTTAAAAAGTTCAATAAGAACTACAAATGTAAAGCCAACATAACTATCTACACATTTATACCACTATTTTATACTTTCAAAATGTATATAAATTATCAACATATATCCCCATGTAATGCTTAAAACTTTTCACAATTCACATTTCCATACACACAACATACTCTATACTATTTCCCCTTGTTAGGTTTTCTTTCTTATATTTAGAGAAATAGTTATTAACTAAAATAAAATGTAAAAGTTTATCTTGTTCATTAAGACCTTTTTGTGCTGAGGAGTTGGACCCAAGATAAAAGAAAAAGCAAAGAAATGTCCATAGTCACAAAATCTCAAGATCCAAAGAAAGCCAGCCAAAACTTAGGTTCCTACCTTCAGAGGGTAAACTGTAAAGCTGGGCCACAGGTCCGCTCACAGGTATAACCGGTAACTGGAAATGGAAAGAACTTTTAATTGTTGGAAGTGGCAGGCGGTTTTTGGGAAAACATTTCCTCATTATCAGACTGGAGGTATTCACAAGAGGATCAAGAGTCCGGACTGCCAAACACTCCTGTTTTTTAAAAGAAAAAAAAGAGAGAAAGTGAATGTGCCTTTGGTAACTGGATAAACCAATTTTATGTTACCTCAGAAATCAATATATTAATTTTCTAGAGACAAAATATGAAACCAACATTTAATGCAGGATAATTATAAAATAACTGTATGTATTATAAATAATAACCTCGTGTGGCAAATTTTCCCTAAGTATTTTAACTATGCAAAAATCAGTACTACCTTCAACATAAAAAAACACTGGGATACTATATATCGGTGATAATGATGCTTTAGAGCTTTCTATGGCACTGAACAGCCTGCTGCAGAACATGTGACACAGGATCACCTACCACTGCTACATCTGAATGAACTAGGGACATTTAGCAAAAGTCTAGGGCATACATTTTTTAAAGTTTATTGGGAATAGGGGTGAAAAAGAATCAAGAAAGTAATAAAAGTAGAAAAAATAAAAATGAATGTGTATTTTACTAAGCTTTTCTCAGAACTCTGCCACTGATCACACAATGCCACTTTCCATAAGCTGGCTATTCACCTTATTAATACAGACTAAATAGCCAACTTAAGGTTCACACAATGTGATTTGCTGTTCTAGTATTTAATTTTCAGAAGTCAGGGCATAGAGAATCTGAAACTAAGTCATATTATTATTATTATTATTATTATTATTATCAGTGACTGAGATTTAGGTGGCACTTTGATACACTACAAAATCTTCAGTATCTATTTGCACATCTGGCATTTTCATACCTCTTACATCAAATATTCATCACTGTATATACTAGGGATAATAAAAATAAGTTTATACCATTGCTTTAGAAAGGAAAATACTATAGGTAAACAATCGTATTCCAGTATCTAAACTATTGTTCTATAAAAAGAGATGTTTATGTGCAAAACCAAGAAGGCACAACCAAAATACCTGGCTAGTATTTTCAAAATATCAGACTTTTTTCTAATAATTATAGCCTTCTAAAACTATGAGGGCTGCACTGCAATATCCCCATTTCCCACACATGACTGTCTTCTACAGATGCTAGAAAAGATCTCACTGAATGTAGTCAGCAGAACTAGCATTCCTACTTAAAGAGATTTCCCTTCTGTACCTTCCTGATTCAGAAAAGGCTCCACCAGAGCACGCACACACAACAGAAATACCCTCCAGCTGCCAAGGAGGAACCACACATACAGGGAGAGCAGCATGGAAATCTAAGTGCCACCAACCTTAGAAATCATAGCTCCACTGAACCCTTCTCTTCCCAGCAGATGCTTTCACGCATCCTTTGACACAGGCACTGATCAATTTTCCAGTCCAATCTGAGGTCACACATGAGAATGGCTGTATGCCTTCTGGTTCTTAAAGAAACTTCTTTAAGTTTCTTTTAAAATATATAATATGTATTCTTTGATTATTCAGTTTTTTAAAAATACATTATTATTAGAACATTAAGTAGGGCAACAGGAAGAAAACAACTTACTTGTGAGGTATTGTACAAAATCTTCATCCCATTGGCACTGATAAATGCTTTTCTTCCCAATTTGATGTTTGTAACACTTTTTAAGCTCTGCAAAATTCCTTTCCGAATAAGCATGTTTCTATGTCGATTATCATGGCGGTGCCAATCTACATAAATTGTTAAAAGCACCTGGACATATCCTCTGTCTACAGCTCTCCTGGCATTTGTTTCTTTAACAGAAAGAAAATTGAGAAAGAATATACTTTAAATGATAAAGAGAAAAGGATAGGACAAATTAATTTAAAAATATAACTTCAGTATTGTGATGAATTTTCACAAAACTTCTTCCTGATTTTTTTGTTTGTTTTGAGATAAGATCTTGCTATGCACAGCCTTGGACTTGCTACGTAGAGCTCAGGTTCGCCTCAAACTTGGAATCTTCCTACCTCAACCTTCCGAGTGCTGAGATTACAGGCATGTGCCACTACATGAGGCTAATTCTTATCATTCCTGTATCTCACCAAAAAAGGGCAATGACCTATTTAAATGTTTTTCTAGCAAAATAGATTAAAAATCCTAGAACATTTTCCAGGATTTTTCTGCCCATACAAATATTTCATAAATATTTATAATTTTATAATTTAGAAAAGCCAAAATATCTTTAGTAAAATTAAGTCATATTTTTAATATATTAAAAAATTCTTATTTTTAATATTATATTAATAAAAACTTCATGTATTTTAAGTTATGAACATACTGACACTGTATCAAAAAAAAATTTACAAATGTGAAATTAACCCCACAGAGCTGTAGCTCCCATAACAAACTTTGTATCCACAGAAACTCATTGCTCAAATAATCTCACAACTATACAAAATCCATGCCATAACTATATAATTTAAAAATAAACAATTTTTTAATAAATGAAATATAAGGAGTACTACATGATTAGAAAATAGTTCTTTCTGGGCATTACATTTTTAACATAATGAAAAGTATATTAAAGGTTTGTATTAAAAGGCCAATTTTATTGAAGTAGAAATTAAACCTAATTTATTGGTTTTAAAGTATCAATATTTAAATTATTAACCAAAAAAACAGTGCATTTTACTAAGATATCAGCAAGGAAATCATATCACAGCAACAACCCAAGCCACCTAATGCTACTTTGCTAAGTCCATTGTAAGTACTACAAGGTAATGGGTTAGAGGACCAACCTATTAGAGGCTGTGCAATGAGAAGGAAATGTTAGATTTCCTTAATTTCCAATGTATCTTTAAAATGACCCTTAGTTCATGGAATGGGTACTAAGGTGACATTGACTTTAGATGCCTGAGAAAATTATTATAGTTTCCAAATTCACTAATATATATCTAAAACATTACATTGAGATAGATTTATTAATTCCCTTCCATAACTAGGTTCTGATATCAGAAAGGCAGAAACAACTCACCAGGGAAAGAAAGTGTTCTTACGTGAAAGCTTTCAAATCTCTATTATATCTAAAAGCACTTGCTTGCTAAGGCGATGAACTACTGGTAAAATTAGTTCAATTGTTTTGAACAACAAGTTTTATATAAACAAAGCTGGTTACATCACTCAAAATATGTAAGCCTTTAGTTTACTAGCTGTGAATATAAGTTTGTTAAAAGCCACTATGATCATTGCAACTATTAAAAACTGTGTTTCTGACAGAATTTTCAAGAGCCTAAATGGTATTTATAAGAAATTAAAGTTATATATGAAAGGTCAAATAAGAAACTCTGTTATAATTCAAACAGATGCTGAGGTGACCCTTAAAGGAAGTGAACAGAGCCATCTACATTCTGCACTGATCAATATTCTAACGGATAACGTGTTCAGGGCACAAGAATCTCCACGAGCATGTCCCCTTCTTCCTTCTCTACTTAAAAGAAAATTTAAGTTTACTTTAGGCTTAGTCTAATCTACACATCAGCAATAACAGTTTAGCTGCCCATTTTTACATGCTTTATATTCCTTAACTTATATTTTCCAGTATTTGTCTTAGTCAAATTTAACCTTTAAATGAGTGCCCTTCCAAGAAAAAAAGGAATCTTTAAAAATACAAATAAGGAATATTTCAAAATGTGAATGATCCATTTAAAAATATTCAGTGTGCTACTAAAAATTATTTTGCATTATTAAACTTCACCCCATTCAGTCACATGTGTCATTTGAAAATATATTAAACTATTTCTAGTTACCTTTTTTTCTCCTAATGAAGATAACAGGTATATTTACCTATCACCTCCCTTTGTAGAAAGAATAGAGTAAAAAGAAAACTACTACTTAAAATTGAAGATACAAAATTTGTTATCTTAGATTAATTGCTTTCTATAAAATACACGAAACTTCTAAGTTTCAATTTTTACTGGTTTACAATTAATATCTTTGTCATTAGTCATTCTGAAAATTAGTAAGCTTTAATAAAATTTTAAAGCTATTGCATTTCACTCCAAAAATATATTCCTTTATTAATTTAAGAATCAATATTTAAATAGTTTGAATTATAAAGTCAAAGCACATCAAAGCAAAGATACAAATGCTGCTTGAAGTTAATGGATTTTGGTCTAAAGTTTATTGCATCACATATGAAAATAAAACTATACAGATAATCTAATCAAATACCATAAGAACTCTGTGGTATAATACTAATACTTAGGGATTTTTATACTTATTAAATCTTTATCAAGTAACAGATTTTCAATCAGTTAATCATTTGCTACTATTTAAAAAACCAATTCCAGCAATTCAAATTTAAGGGTAATCAGTCTCACCCTTAATAGCTTATCAGCTGCCTATTAACTGAATCTTGAGAAGATGGGGCATATGAAAGCCATCAACAGAGATGTTTGAGACTAAATATTAAGACCAAAATATTAATTTATTTAACCAGTCATCCAGGGTGCTACTGATGAAAATCAATGTTTAAAATAGAAATACTAAGTATCTTGGATAGAAAAAAAACCATAAACGTATGACTGTTCTCCAAAAGTGTAGACACATCTACTCCAATACCTTAGCTCTGGAAATAAAGGTTTTTGTAAACGAATATAAGTCTATAAATTCATATTAACAGTCACTTTTTAAAATGTTATAAGTGAGAACATATAGTGGAAAAAAATTCTAGTAGGAGCTTCTAAATTAAAGCCACATGTTATTACAGAGATAGTGACTGTTCAAGATAGTTCTCATGTTAAAAGTTTTCAGGTTCATGTTAGACTCATTTTTTCAAAATGATACATGATATTTATTTTCCTTTACCAGAAGGACTTTGTTTATATAAATAACTTGAAAATAGGAAACAAATGGGCTTGAAAAAAATTATACAAATGTACTAGATAAAGTATAGCTCAATAAACATATGGATTTAGTAATGACGAACAGCAGCTATACTAGAAATTAAAATTAATTTCAACACTAGAATATTATAAAACAGCTTTAAAACTGTAGAATACATTGTATTTCCAGTTTCTTTAATAAATTAAGGAAAATGTTCAGAAAAAAAGAATCTAGTATTTCTAGTATTTAAAAACTTACTTGATTTTAGCAATGCAGCAAGAGTGTCTAAAGCAACCCTGTCAACACAACAAGAAAACACAAACAACAACAAAACTAGTAAAATTAATCTACAATCATAAATTCACACAATCTTGTCAGATAAGTAATTATTCTATTAACTATTCCAAGATTTACTGTTATTAGAGCATTAATTACATATGGTATTTCTCCACAGGCATTTCTCTCTTTAACTTAAAATCAGAAAAAAAATGTGACACAGTGTAAAAAAATGTTAACAAAATTAACACTGTCTATCAAGTCTTTATGTCAGATGTTAAATGAATGCTATCAATTATTGTATTTGGATTTGACCCTGAGAGAGTTCACAAACAAACTACACTCTTAAGAATGAAAGGTCCTAAGTGGCAAAGGAATTAAATCAAGTTTTGGCACAGTTAATTTCATAGCTACAAATTTCATCAATAATTTAACTTTCTGGTATTCCAGTATTTCCATTATATCAAGCTACAATCCTCACACATACATCAATACCTACAATAAAACATTCTGGAACTTACAAGTTTGGGGAGAAGAAAGAGCCCTTAACATCTTTATCTATGAAGCACCAAAAAAAGTAATTAACAAGCATAATTGTTACCTTCAAAACCCTTACTGTCTCTCAAAGGAAAAGGGAAGAATTCTACAGACTGAAGACAGATAGGTATCTGTTTAGACATAAAGAGTTATGCACAAGAGAAATCAGCTGCCCTTAATAAGCTATAAAAATTATGTAATACCACTATGGAAAACAAATAATTAGAGGAGTCTCTTAAAAATGAGTTACTAAGAAAAACTGGCACTTCTTCAATAACTTTCAAAATATAAGGCAACATACTATAGTACCTCTTCCAAGATGTCAATAATCATAATTTATTTGCATTAAAATATGCACATTACCAGACATAACTAAGCATTTCACTCACTATCAAGCATTTGTTGAATGCCTACTAGATACCCACAGTAGCAATTTCTTCATGGGTATAAAATTAGAAGGTAAATTTATAGTCTACACAGTGTATGAAAAATATATTCAATAAATTAAAACCAAAACCAAGACAATAAAGTAAAAGTTGATACATTAATGGTAGATGAGAAGTAGCACAAACAGATACAGGAAAAAGTAAAGAGAATGGATTAAAAGGTTCAAGAGGGATGCTGGTTCATAGTAAAACCTGAAATAATAATCCATAACTAGGCACAAGGTAAGTGTTCAACAAATGCCCAGTAAGAGAAAGTTCTTATTAATTACACTTTAGCTTGACACAAATAAAGCAAATATGTAAACCTTTATTTATAAAAAGTCATAAAAACAAAGCATGTCCATTTTAAAATATTATATACATGTACCTGTAGCTTTCTAAAAAAAAATATGAAATGTTGGTAGTGTTAAGTTAAAAGTAAACAAACATTATAGAACTATGTACTGAATTTTCCTTACATGAATGAAATCATCAGGAACAAACACCATACTTTTATAGCCATGCAATAAAAAATAACAGACTATAAACTTACCAGAATTAGGATGGATAAGGACTTCTTTAAAATCATTCAAATTTAAACACAGAAATAATACATCTTCCAAATGAAACTGCTATTTATAGAAATCAAAAGGAATAAAAGTCTATGCATCAGCAAGACTGACAAAGGGCAGGCAACCATTCTAGATGCTTTATATGCACGCTTTCTACTTTAATTCTTAAAACAATTCTGGTTTATAGAATTGTCCTGTTTTATGCATACAGAAACTTTATAACACCCCTACAGTTGCATAAAAATTCAGTGATATGGAAAATAAACAATGTTAGTACCTTGCTGAGAAAGGAAATTATGAAATCCAAAATGTCTTCCTACAAGGAGATACCCTGGATGGCTGGTGAGTAGGCTGGACTCGGCACACCACAGCCCCACCTGGCCTGCACACAACCAGCACAATCCTCCCTGTCTGCCTTGGTTCTCCTGCAGGGCCCAAGGGCAGGGAGGTGGGCTGCAAGTCTGCCACCCATGGAGCTCCTTCCACTCTGTCTTAGAAAAATATCTTATATTTGAGGTAATTGGAGATAAATTTTCCTACTTGATGTGACTTAGAAAATTTCTTATAATAGTTATAGGATTATCCTGTAATAGTTATAGGATCACTGGATAATGAAGTCTCTTATCTGGAAGTCTTGACAATCTATTTCAGGTTTCTTCTACTTAAGTTTAAGATGAGCATAAAGTTTTCCCTGCCTAGTGTTCCTTACACAGAACTTCATCTTCATTGGAGAGGTCAATAAATGATAAAGATATAATGACTATAAGCCTATCTGCATAGAAGATTGGGGCATCTAATTTTATAAAACAATGCAATAATAGTGCAGTACTTCAATGCCCAATCTCCAACATCATTCCAAATGATGAAAGCATTTCTTTTAAGATCAAGTCAAGACAAGGTATGTTCTCACTGCTTTTCCTCAATATACTACTAGAACTTTTATTTAGAGAAATTAAGCAAGAGAAAAGAAAAAAAGATAAACAGGAAAGAAAAAATCAAATTACCCACTGTTCACAACAGTGAAGAAATGCAATCAGCTTTGGTGTTTGTCAACAGATGAATGGATGAAGAAATTATGAAAGACATGCACAATGGAGTATAATTTAGTTGTACAAAATAAATACTGTCATTCTCAGGAAAATGGACAGAAATAGAGGCTATCGTGTTAACTGAAATAAGTCAGACACAAAAAGACAAATATCATGTTTTCTCTCATATGTGGAAACTGAAAAAAATAATAATAACCTAACAATAGACAAGGGGCTATTGGGGATTAGGAAAAGGAGAGGAGGTAGAAAGGAAGGTGAAGAGAGAGGACAGAAGATAGGTGGATGAATACAATGAGGGCACAATATACCCAGGTTTAGAACTATCACAGTGAATCCCAGTCTTTCATTTGTATAATTAGCATTTGTTGATTATAATCATAAAAAGAGAAGGCAACCAGAATTTGCACTTCAAACAAGATAAAATGACAGGAACTAGACCTACCTTCTCATCTGAGAAATAACTTTTCTCAAAATGGACAAAATTGAGTAACTGATTAAGCGATGAAAGGTGGACACCCATAAGAGATGGAAACACTCAAGATGGTACTCCAGTTGGCCCAGTTTGCCACACATCAAGAGGCCCAGGGAGACAGAACCTAGAGGGAGTGCGCCAGACTCCTTTCCTGTACCAAGCTTGGGAATTCTCCAGCCTAGAACAAGCAGAGTCCAGGGAACCAAGTGGTCAGAGTTCACAAGACAGAGCACCCAGAAGAAGCAGCAGCTCAGAAAGAGGAATGTAGGGTTTTTCAGAGGTTTCTACTGGAACTTCAGCAATGTAGTGATCAGCATCTGTGTGTGAAGGAACTAACAGGACTGCAGAAAAAGCCATCCCAATGATCAGTGAACAGCGCCTCCTACTCACAGATAGCTGTGAACAGGTGTGCTCCCACCTGCCAATCTGGGAACCTCATCACCCAAAGGCGCAAGCTGCAGCACTCTAAAGACAGTGCTCCAGAGTGGAGAAGCATTGGTCTCACACCTAACAGCAGCACACTAATCCACCTCACACACCTGAAAGACTTCTATCAAACTATTGCCAAGTAACTTAGTTGTATCCTGGAATAAAACTCAAGAATATTTCAGAAATGCAAACACATCCAGAATCTAATAAGGTAAATTTTACAGTATCTGACATCCAAGCAAAAACTGTCAAGCACAGCACTCATCATTCCCTCATCACTCTCTACTTGTCCCTTATTTTACATGTTTTTTGCTTAAATGCTCACTTAATTCTAAATATCCATGAGTTTACAAGTTTCTGTACAAAATATCTAGATACATTTTAGCATTCAAAATCTATCAGATCTCCATTTTTAAACAAAAAAAATACTATCAGCTATGCAAATAGAAAGTTGAGACCCATGATGAAAAAAAAATAACCAAATAAAACTGACCTAGAACTAACACTATGTTAGAAAACGTTAAAGCAGTTACTACGATCATATTGCACATATTCAAATTGCTCAAGAAAAAGCAAATGTGTTAAGGAAAGACATATTTTTCAAAACTTAATAAATACAGCCACCTCTTGATCCAGTCGCTGCTACTCCTACACAGGGATGTGTGAGAAGACACAGTCGTATCTTCTGCCTGGATTAAGAGTTTGAAATCAAAAAGGAAAGAAAACCCTAAGGGAAGACTGGTCCTTCAGACATGAAGCTCCTTTAGTATATCCCCCCATACCCCCAACCCCGAAAGGCAAGGCTCTGTTGAGAAAGAACAGCCACAACAGGAAGCTCCCTTGTGTGAGCTTTCTCACTTAAGAGTACAAGGAGCTCTCATTAGTAAAAATGACAAAAGACAAAAGAACACGTTTCAGCCATTGAGTGGTTCTTTTTTTAAAGTAAAAAACTATTTTTTTTTATTTAAGGAGAAAAAGAAAAAAACAGAAAAAGGGTACAAGTAATACAAAATTTAAAAAATAAACAGTAAGAAATCACTAGTTAATAGATTACATATTCTCGTCTTAGAAATAGTTGTTCAAGTTACAAAATTAAAGCATATAAAGTGGACTTTCAAACAGTGAGAATGCAAACAGTTTTGTTCAATGATCAAAACTCAGTAATATGGTTATCTATCTTATACACTTCAACATATATGCAGTTATATTCTTTAGAGCACTTTCTTTTCTTTTCTTTTGTACAATGACAATTACACATTTTGGGTTTTATTACTCCCACAGTTCTGATTACTTTTTTTGAAGAGAGTAAAACCAAATTGCGACATATCAGAACAGAGTCAGTCAAATCAAAAGGATGGACATAATAGATAATGTAAAAACAAAATACAAGGTGATCAATAATGGTTACTATACTGCCTCTTGCTAATTTAAGAAGAATCACCAGTTATAACAAAATCAAACAAAACCAAAGCATTGAAGACATTAAAGGACTTTAAAAGAAGGTAACAGTGAACCAGAATGGGCATCATAATGAAT